ATCATTTTGTCATTGCCATAAGAACTGCTGCACAAATAGCATGGTCCATTACATTTATAGAGGAATGGGCCAAGCCCAGGAGTGACACTTTCATTTCCTCCCACATCTAGAATTGTACCTGGCTGGAGCACCTGTGTGCACTCAGGAGGAGAGAAGACATCTCCCATTCCCGCCAAGTTCCTTCAACTAAATCTGCACCTTCTGGTTTTTGAACTTCAATGGTTTCTTGTATCTTACAAATAAAAATGGTGAATAGATGTATAGATTTAGAAGCTCACAGCAGAAGTTTGTACTTTTCTGTTGGCTTGTTAAATATAAAAAGCCATATGGAGTTCCTCAAAGGGAAAGAAAAAAAGAAAATGAGGAAATTTCTCCTTGATCTTGGAAAGTTTATGGATGATGACAGAAATACTAAGACAGAAATCTACACACAAGCACATACATCATGACTCATACTATTTACTTTTAACACAGCAATAAATTTATCAATGCGAACTGATGTTTAAAAGATGAAATATAGGGGCTGGCCCCGTGGCCAAGTGGTTAAGTTTGCGCACTCTGCTGCAGGTGGCCCAATGTTTCGTTGGTTCGAATCCTGGGTGCGGATATGGCACTGCTCATGAAACCACCCTGAGGCAGCATCCCACATGCCACAACTAGAAGGACCTACAAGGAAGAATATACAACTATGTACCTGCGGGCTTTGGGGAGAAAAAGGAAAAAAATAAAATCTTTAACAAAAGATGAAATATAAAAGTGCTGAGGAAACAAAACATGAAGAAACACAAAATAGAAAGTTTTTTTTTTTTTTTATGTTGACACTGGTCTTTGTTAAGAGTGACTGAGATTTGTCAGGCAGATGTAAGAAAATGCAATCAGCAATGTGAGTTTCATTTTGAAAGAAATAGCATTGAAAAGGGTATTATCGATCTCATGGAAGGAGATGGGAAAATGTTAGCTCTTGACTGAGGTGATCTAGGCCTGCTCCCTGGTCTGAAAACATTGATTACATTTCATATCATCTGCAATTGCTGCCACATTTTTTGTGAGTTTAAAACTCTTTAATCTTCAAGAATAAAAATGTTTTGGGAGTAAAGTAAAATCTTTAACCATATGACCACTCACCCTCTAGGAAATGAAAAAAGGACATTTTGTTGACTTGTGGTTTGAGCATGGGCATGTCTGAGGCGGCAGGTGCATTTGGGGGCAATAGTGTTCACATTCTTTGACCAGAACCTACAGGGAAACATATATTTTACCCTGCTGCACACTGGCAGCACACTCACTTCCAAATACACACATTGAACAAATCTTTTACAAAGCAATACTCCCCTTAATACAAGTGAGATGCTCTGCCATCTCCAATTCCAGACAAAATCATGTCTGAAAAACCATGAGTTGTCAATCATTGGTTTCATTCCCTGAACTTTCCATGTGTCACCACACACGTGTGTGAGGAGAGCTCAGGTCTCTCCAGTTTAGTACTTGAGAACCCTTTTCAGTTTTTCTAGACTTGAGCAATGACAAGTAAATGCTTCCCTAAGGTAGGAAAGACTTGAACTGACACATTAGCAATTAAGTATTCATTCTTCGAGATGCTACACTGAGTCCATGTATAAAAGATAAAAGAATGCCTATTGCCCTATCTCTCCTCTCACCAGGAGAGTGGTGATGAGTTCACATGACATACCATGAAAATTGCTGTGTGCAAGAACAAGTGAACAATTAGGTTAAATATGAAGATATTCACAATGGCTGTGGAAGGTGCTTATAAAGTATAAATTGCAAGTGGAAAGGTGGGGAGAGTGGGAGGCTGTTAATACTGGACCAGTATGCTCAGAAGGACATCTAAGCAGAGAAAAGCAAACATTATATTCCTGCTACAGTTTAAATTTAAAGGGAGAAAATATTTGTCCCTTCTTAGAACCATTCAGAAAGTGAAGGCCCTCTGTTTACCACGTGAGAGATCTGTTTCTTCCATGGAAAGAGGTGTGTGGTAGCAGCAGGGCTGGTTGCAAGACAAGTGCTCCTGTCTTGACCCAAGAGGAAGAAAGGGCAGCATCCTGTTTAAAAGCTGGAAAGATATGAGGTATTAACAAGAACATGCTCTTTCAATTATTGCAAATCTTCCTATAAAGAAGCCCTTCTTCCCTCTACATCAAAATTGAGAAAACCCATTCAGAAGCAGGTTGGAGCTCAAGTTATCGTGAAAACCAAACTCTTGCCCTCTCACTGAGTTTGCCTTATTTTCAGATCCTCATTTTCACTTTTCTCTTATTTCAAAGGGTTCTCAATTTTAGGACCATGAAATGGTGCAGCAGTTTGTTGTGAAACACTGGCTTTATTATGGTGATTTAAAATTTGTTTCAGTCTGTTTTCCTTCCTAACTTCCTGTACTCCTTTCTGCTTTCATTCCTTTTCTAGCTTATTAATTAAAAAACATATATTTTTAAGAGGAATGGGATAATATCTCTGTAAAAGAATCATGACAAAGTTAAAAGGATAGATTAACAGATTAAAAGCATTATTTATAAGGAAATTTTCTAAATAATATATTATACTATATACATGCATATGCATTTTTAAAATTTCATAATAATTCAATTATTAGTTAATTATTTAATAAATAAAGTATCATGTAAAAATGAAAATCTACCTTAAACCCCTTCTCAATCTCTAGAAGTCTTTTTTAAAAATTCAATATATGCTTCCAGATAGTGTTTCAATTTTAATATAAATATACATATGTAGAGAGAGTTTTTGACCGAAAAAATGGGATCACACTTCATATAATCTCACTAAACATTAGACGTTGCCCTCCACTTGTGTGAAATTAATGGGACTTTTGGAATAAATATCGGGGAAGCCACATACATATACTTATTTCAATTTAGTAGTGGTTTTTTTCTAGTTCTTAAAGTTGTTATTTATTAAAATCATTTCAATAACTTTAAACATATCATTGTTTCTGAGTATTATCCATTTCAATCAATGCTATAGTGGAGATTCTTGAGGAGGTGTAATTACATGTTTCAGGTTAATAAATGAAGGACAGATTCCTAGATGCGACTTAGTGGATCATAAAAAAACATGTAATTCTAAATTTTATGGAATACAAATGTTTCTCTTGTTAAAATAACATGTACAATGTCAAAATATATGTGCATTTTAATTAATGATGTTTTTTTAAGATCCCTCCAAAGATACTAGACCAATTTAAATTCCTATCAAGAGTCAATGGGCTCATTTCCCTACACTTTTCCTAGCTCTGTATATACCACATTTTTAAATACTTACCTATCTAGAAAGAAAATATTTTTATACTTATATTCTAAATTTACACCCTTAATCATCAGTGGGAATAATTTAATGCTTTTAAGTCATGTTTTTGTAAATCTTATGTCTGTGAACTGCTTCTTCAAATCATTGCCTATTTCTTGTTACATGTTCTCTTGCCAATTTCTTTAAATAATTATTAAACATGATAGCTTTTCACTTGTTATGTTGAATTTCTCTAGGATAATAATTATTCTTTACATTTTGTTGTATTTCTTACAGTGTAGACTTTTTTAAAAATATGCAAATTTATCTATATTTTGCTTCAGAGCTTTTGAGAATTGCAAGTTGCCTAGTGAGATCAACCTAAATCCAAGATAACCAGGAAAAACAAATAAATAGAACAACTATTACACTTTCTTGTAGTAGTTGTACTTTTTCAATGTTTACATTTTTGAATTGTTGCTAGTTTGAGTGAATGGAGTTAATGAAGGATTAACATTCCCCACACCCAAAATGCCTGGTCAATGATTATGTTTCAATGATGATATTTTCAAAACATCTTTGGATATATATTAAGGATAGTTTCTCCTCATTATAATTTCTTTTTTTTCTTTTTCAGAGTTTCCCTGACTACTCTCATGAGCTTATTTTCCCATTCCCTGTTTGTATGATACATAGGCTTGATGTAACATACATATAAACTTTCATATTTACCAACTGTCTTTCATATTAAAAAAAATCTCAAAACACATCTGTAAAACGAACAATGTACTTTGATTAGTACCATTTTAGATGAGAAAACTATGAAAAGGTAAATGAGTGTTCCAAGATCTCATAATGGTATCTGTTGGCTAAGGGATTATAACAGGGGAGATTGGGGTTGTAGTGCAAATGTTCTAAATCCGTTCCTCTATATCAGTCTGTGAGACTTGTGGTTTATGTCCTTAGACATGCTTTGCTTTGAATGTCATACATTCTTCGAATTGCAATTTGAAAGAAGTTTCTGCACATATGTGAATTGTGGCATTAAAGTTTTACTATCTGTTGCAAAGATTTGTGATTGTTTTCTCCTCAAGTGGTATATAGTAGTTGGAAAGAAAACAAAACAAAACAAAAACTCTATTTCTTTAATACCTGACCCAAGAGAGAAAGAAAGCGAGATTATTTTTGTGTGTATGTTGCTTTAATAATATTCTACTGCCTCACACGTTATTTATTTACTTAGGTAGTTTACCTCAAGAATAATGATCAAACGAGTGAGGTGTGTCTTTTGGATAAGGAGTAAATGAAGCATTCTCCATATAATGAATATTTCCTAAATACCATTAATTGATGACACAGGGACTCTCTTTTGGGCTTTGAGGTTTTAGCAGGAGCTTAGGAACTTGTGTCTTGAGAAGAATCAGTGGTTGAGTCATGGCAGGATTTGTCCTTCCTGTCATTGGAATTAGAGGCAGTACCAGCAGTGAATGGTGAAGACTCTAACCCTCATTTCCTGGATTCAGAATCATTACTGCCCCTTTCTATAACATAATTTGCTTAACACACATCTGCCTCAGTTTCCTTTTCTGTAAGCCAGGGGTAATAAGAATGCCAACTTCTTATCACTGTGGTTGGAGTTAAATGAATAAATAAATGTAAACAGCATAGAACACCTAGCTCATAGTAAGTGCTCCCTTATACATACTGTCACCATTATTAGTATCCATATTTCTCTTCAGTTGCAGCAGAGGTGATGGAACCAATGACAACACCCAGGGAAATTTCATCCTTTTGGGGTATTCTGATCATCCCCATCTGGAGAGAATCCACTTTGTGGTCATCTCGATTGCATATCTCCTGACACTTGTGGGCAATACTACCATAATCCTGGTGTTCCGGCTGGACTTCCACCTCCACACTCCCATGTACTTCTTTCTCACACACCTCTACTTCCTGGACCTCAGTTTTAGCACCAGCTCCATCCCCCAGCTTCTCTGTAACCTGAGTGGAGGTGACAAGACCATCAGCTACACTGGCTGTGCTGTCCAGCTCTTCCTATTCCTGGGTCTGGGGGGTGTGGAGTGTCTGCTCCTGGCAGTCATGGCATATGACTGTTTTGTTGCAGTCTGCAAGCCCCTTCACTCCATGGTGATCATGAATCCATGCCTCTGCATGGCCTTGGTGTTGGTGGCTTGGGGCTGTGGGATGGCCAACTCCTTGGCCATGTCCCCAGTTACCCTGCTCTTTCCACATTGTGGGAACCACCATGTGGACCACTTCCTATGTGAGATGCCCACCCTGATCAGGATGGCCTGTGTCAATACAGCTGCTATTGAGGGCACTGCCTTTGTCCTGGCAGTGGGCATTGTGCTGTCACCTCTGGTACTTATCCTGGTCTCCTATGGCTACATCATGAAGGCAGTGTTACAAATTCAGTCAGTATGAGGGAGACAAAAGGCTTTCAACACCTGTGGCTCCCATCTCACTTTTCTATGGAAACATCATGTACATGTGCACGCAACCTGGGAACAGCTCTTCCCAAGACCAGGGCAAGTTCCTCACCCTCTTCTACAACATCATCACCCCTCTCCTGATCTCCCTGATCTACACCCTCAGAAACAAAGAGGCAAATGGGGCACTGAGGAGGCTGATGCTGGGTGACAGAGAGGTAGGAAAGAAGTAAGGGAAAAGGGAAAAGACAGGTCTTACCAAGCTGGTTGTCATTTCAGTCAGGGACCAGTGATGGAATCTGGAGCTGTTGGGCCAGATCTGGGCCTGTCATGGGCTTCCAAACTTATGTCTTTATCTAGACTACCATATGACTGTTTCAGTTACAACATTAAATGTTCTGAGGAGTGAGCTGCACAACACACGTCATCCAAAAACTCCTTTATATGATCTGTAAAGCATACCCAAATGACAAAGCAGGATAAGTGTGTGATTATAAAGATAAGTTCCCATAACGTGTAACAGAGTGTCAAGGAGGAAACTACTTTTCTCCGACAGAGTTTGTTTCTGTACTTGTTTGTTGTCAATGCATTAACAACTTTCTTAGGATTTCAGACAGAATGATCACAATCAACCACTTTTCTTGGCTTACAGCCATCAAATAGGGGAGGTCAGCATGGCTGGTTGTTTTATATTTCCTAAATTCCCATCAAAAGGCTTTAATCAAATTATGTTGTTTTTCTGCCTTTTTCCCAACATTTGGCATTTTCCATAAAGTCTGGTGAAGATTCTGATAAACCAGGAAGTTAAACGATAACAATGATGCATGTGTACTTTAAACTTTAAAGCATCACTATTTCTCAGGTATGTTTTTATTAATAAGCAGGACCTAGTGTTTATTAAGTTCCTGCTCTGAGTCAGGTGCTCATAATTCATCTACTCCTCTCTGCATTTGTGTGAGGTCAGTATGATGCTCTCTGTCCCTGTTTTACCCATGTGGTACTTGAGGCTTGGAGATTAAATCATTTGCTCAAAGAGAACTGAACCAGAGATTTACTCCAAGTTCTGTGACTGCCAATTCCTGTTGTTTCTATAGCTCCATGAATTTGTTTTTAATTTTTATTTTTTCGGACATACATCATATTTCGAATTCTGTATACATCATATCATGTTCATCACCTGAACACCAATTATAGTGCATCCCCTCACATGCGACCCTAATCACCCCTTTTGCCCTCCCCCCTGCCCCCTTCCCCAATGCTAACCACCAGTCCAGTCTCCAATGCTATGTGGGGTTTTTTTTGGTCATTTTTATTTTCTACTTATGAGTGAGATCATATGGTATTTGACTTTCTCCCTCTGACTTATTTCACTCAGCATAATACCCTCAAGGTCCATCCATGTTGTCAAAAATGGCCGGATTTCATCATTTCTTATGGCTGAGTAGTAGTCCATCGTGTATAAATACCACATCTTCTTTATCCATTTGTCCCTTGATGGGCACCTAGGTTGCTTCCAAGTCTTAGCTATTGTGTATAATGCCACAATGAACATAGGGGTGCAAGTATCTTTATGCCTTTGTGTTTTCAAGTTCTTTGGACAAATACCCAGGAGTGGAATACCTGGATCATATGGTAGATCTATCCTCAATTTTCTGAGGATACTCCAAACTGCTTTCCATAGTGGCTGTACCAGTTTGCACTGCCACCAGCAGTGAACAAGGGTCCCTTCTCTCCAACCCTCTCCAACATTTGTTGTTTCTTGTCTTGTCAATTATAGCCATTCTGGCCAGAGTGAGGTGATACCTCACTGTAGTTTTGATTTGCATTTCCCTGATAGCTAATGATGTTGAGCATCTTTTCATATGCCTGTTGGCCATCTGTATATCTTCCTTGGAGAAATCTCTGTTCAGATCTTTTTCCCATTTTCTAATTGGATTGTTGGTTTTTTTGTTGTTGAGCTGTATGAGTCCTTTGTATATTTTGGATATTAACCCCTTATCTCATTTGCGGTTTGCAAACATCTTCTCCCAATTGTTAGGTTGTCATTTCACTTTGTTGATGGTTTCCTTTGCTGTGCAGAAACTTTTTAGTTGGATGTAGTCCCATTTGTTCATTTTTTCTTTTGTTTCCTTGCCCGGTCAGACATGGGACTTGAAAATATGCTGCTCAGACCAATATCATAGAGCATACAGCCTATGTTTTCTTCTAGAAGTCTCATGGTTTCGGGTCTTACATTCAAGTCTTTAATCCATTTTGAGTTGATTTTTGTGCATGGTGTAAGGGAATGGTCTACTTTCATTCTTTTGCATGTGGCTGTCCAGTTTTCCCAACACCATTTATTGAAGAGACTCTCCTTTCTCCATCATAAGCTCTTGGCTCCCTTGTTGAATATTAGCTGTCCATAAACGTGTGGGTTTACTTTTGGGCTCTCAATTTTGTTCCATTGATTTGTGTGTCTGTTTTTGTGCCAGGACGATGCTGTTTTGGTTACTATGGCTTTGTAGTATAATTTGAAACTGGGGAGTGTGATACCTCCAGCTTTGTTATTTTTTCTCAGGAGTCCTTTGGCTATTCGGGGTCTTTTGTACTTCCATATAAATTTTAGAATTCTTTGTTTTATTTCTGTAAGAAATGTGTTTGGAACTTTGATAGGGATTGCGTTACATCTATGCATTGCTTTAGGAAGTATGGACATTTTAACAATGTTAATTCTTCCAATCCAAGAGCACAGAATACCTTTCCATTTCTTTGCGTCTTCTTCGATTTCTTTCAACAACGTTTTATAGTTTTCAGAGTACAGATCTTTCACCTCTTTCGTTAAGTTTCTTCCTAGGTATTTTATTCTTTTTGTTGCAATTGTAAATGGGATTGTATTCTTAATTTCTCTTTCTGCTACGTCGTTGTTTGTGTATAGAAATGCAACCGATTTTTGTACATTGATTTTGTATCCCGCAACTTGAATGTATTCCTTTATTATTTCTAAAAGTTTTTTAGTGGACTTTTTAGGGTTTTCTAGATACAAAATCATGTTGTCTGCAAAGAGTGACAGTTTCACTTCTTCTTTTCCAATGTGGATCCGTTTTATTTCTTTTTCTTGCCTGATTGCTTTAGCTAGTACTTCCAATACTATGTTAAATAAGAGTGGTGACAGTGGGCATCCTTGTCTGGTTCCTGTTCTTAGAGAGATAGCTTTCAGTTTTTCTCCATTGACAATGATTGCTGCTGTGGGTTTGTCATATATGGCCTTTATTATGTTGAGGTATTTTCCTTCTATGCTCATTTTATTTAGAGTTTTTATCATAAATGGATGCTGTATCTTGTCAAATGCTATCTCCGCATCTATTGAGATGATCATGTGATTTTTATTCTTCATTTTGTTAATGTGGTGTATCACATTGATAGATTTGCGGATGTTTAACCATATCTGCATCACTGGAATGAAACCTACTTGATCATGATGTATGATCTTTTTAACGTATTGTTGCATTCAATTTGCTAGAATTTTGTTGAGGATCTTTGCATTGATGTTCCTCAGTGACATTGGCCTATAATTTTCTTTTTTTGTGTTGTCCTTCTCTGGTTTTGGTATCAGGATAATGTTTGCTTTGTAGAAGGAGTTGGGAAGCCTCCCCTCCTCTTCAAATTTTTGGAAGTGATTGACAAGGATAGATATTAAGTCTTCTTTGAATGTTTGGTAGAATTCACCAGGGAAGCCACCTGGTCCTGGACTTTTATTTTTCGGGAGGTTTTTAATTGCTATTTCGATCTCCTTACTGGTGATCGGTCTATTCAAATTTTCTATATCTTCTTGGTCCACTTTTGGAAGGTTGTATGTTTCTAAGAATTTATCCATTTCTTCTAGATTATCCAATTTGTTGGCGTATAGCTTTTCATAGTATTCTCTTATTATCTTTTGTATTTCTGAGGTGTGCGTTGTAATCTCTCCTCTCTCATTTCTGATTTTATTTATTTGAGCCTTCTCTCTTTTTTCCTTGGTGAGTCTAGCTAAGGGTTTGTCAATTTTGTTTATCTTTTCAAAGAACCAGCTCTTGGTTTCATTATTTTTTTCTATTGTTTTTTTAGTCTCTATTTCATTTATTTCTGCTCTGGTTTTTATTATTTCCTTCCTTCTGCTGATTTTTGGTTTTGTTTGTTGTTCTTTTTCCAGTACCTTTAGGTGCACTTAGGATTATCTATTTGGGATTTTTCTTCTTTGTTGAGGTAGGCCTGAATTGCTATAAACTTCCCTCATAGAACTGCTTTTGCTGTATCCCACAGATTTTGGCATGTCATGTTTTCATTTTCATTTGTCTCCAGGAGTTTTTTTATTTCTTCTTTGATTTCTTCATTGACCCAATAATTGTTCAGTAGCATTTTGTTCAATCTCCACATTTTTGTGGCTTTTCTGGTCTTCTTTCTGTAGTTGATTTTCAGTTTCATACCTTTGTGGTCAGAAAAGATGCATGGTATTATTTTGATCTTCTTAAGTATATTGAGACTTGTTTTGTGCCCTTATATGTGATCAATCCTGGAGAATGATCCATGGGAATTTGCAAAGAATGTGTATTCTGTGGTTTTTGGATGCAATGTTTTGTATATATTTACGAAGTCCATCTGGTCTAATGTGACCTTGAAGGTGAGTGTTTCCTTATTGATCTTCTGTTTGGATGATCTATGCATTGGTGTAAGTGGAGTGTTAAAGTCCCCTACTATTATTGTGTTATTGTCTATTTCTCCTCTTATGTCTGTTAATAATTGCTTTATATGTTTAATTGCTCCTATATTGGGTGCGTAGATATTTAGAAGTGTTATATTTTCTTGTTGGATTGTTCCCTTTATCATTATGTAGTGCCCGTCTTTGTCTCTTATTACAGTTTTTGATTTAAAGTCTGTTTTGTCTGATATAAGTATTGCTACCCCCACTTTCTTTTCTTCGTCATTTGCATGGAATATCTTTTTCCATCCTTTCACTTTCACTTTGAGAGTGTCTTTAGGTCTGAAGTGTGTCTCTTGTATGCAGCATATACATGGGTCTTGTTCTTTCATCCAGTTGGCCACCCTATGGCATTTGATTGGAGCATTAAGTCCATTGACATTTAAAGTAGCTATTGATAAATATGTATTTATTGCCATTTTGTCACCTTCTTTTTTTCTGGGTGTTTTAGTGATTCTTCTCTGTTCCTTTCTTTTTATCTTGCTCTCTTCCCTTGTGGTTTGATGGCTATCTTTAGTA